CGATCTCATTGTGTTCTTTTTTCCAGACTGCATAATGCCTAAATCGCAAAAAAGCCAAAGAATGTCCCGACACAGCAGTCGAGACGTAAGACATGCTCATCCTGCTTTAAGCAAATGCCTGTTTAGGACCTGCATATGTGTTGCCATTCGTGCCTCGGCTGTGTCAGAGACTCAGGGTCTGCCTAGAGGGGTCTGTGCGATCAATGGGACCCCAGAAACGTAGTTGCAAAGCGAGGCGAGGTGCAAAGCTGAAAGCAAGCAATTAAAAGCTAGGAGAAATTGTGATAAAAAAGGGAAATCCCTAGCCGCAGCTAGCAATGTAATGTCTTGTTCAATGAGTGAATAAATCTCTCCCTAAAATTGTTGGAGATTTGTCGACGATTGAGACAAGACCTTCAAAACCGTTTATCTCTGAGATTCCACTTATTTAAATGAGATTCTTCTCATTCAAAAGAAAATTATTAGAATAATTACTTTTTGTGATAGACATGCACCCTCAACACCATTATTTAGAATACTAGGAATTTTGGATATATTCAAACAACACAAATTACAACTAGCCATATTTGTCTATGATGTTATTTAATAATAACAGGTTACCATACATATTCCGAGATTACTACGCCCCAATTTGTCATTCACATAGTACCAGACAAAATCAAAGAAATGATCTTAAAATCCCCCAAATTAAACATAAAGCAGGAGAGTTCACCATTAAGTATGCAGGAGTAAAACTATGGAATAGCATTCCAACTCGTATTAGAAATATACAATGTAGAATTACTTTTAAAAAGGAATACAAAAAATGCCTACAAGCTAGTTGCACATAATTTCCAACTTAAAAATGTATAAAAAAATAATATTTCATTAAATTGCATTCTTTGCAGGTTGTTTTGACTGTCTCACCACTATTTGTATTTTCTATTTAAGTTAAAGTGAACATAACACCCAGTTAATTTCTTGTAATCTGTGATTCATAGCACAGGGGCTGGACTCGATTAGTTGCTAACCGCAACTATTTTCGACCCCTATTCCATTAGTATATTTTTGTTTATATATATTTTGTGTGTTGTTAAGAATTACTTTTTTTGTTTGTTTAGAATAAACATCTATCTATCTAGCTATCTATCTGCGCATGTCTGCCACGCGTTGCAAGTGCTCCTCAAAAAACACGTTTTTTTGCCTCAAACAGTTAGTAAGTTACTACTATTTTTGTACTATCTTTTTTGTTAATACTTACTACATACGTACGCTTATTTATTTTGATTTTACGGTATAAGTCTACCGTGTTTTAGTTTGATTTTGTTTTTCACATTCAGTTCGCTCGTCGTGGGGCCTTTCCAAGATGACGG